CCATCAGAACAATAGTGCAAAGGCCCAGGAGTGGTGGTGTGTCTAGTATGTTCAAGAACAGTGCAGAAAAGGTTGAGCCAGGCATGGTGGTACATGCCTGCAATCCTAGTGGCTTGGGAGGCTGAGGCAGGAGGATCGCAAATTCAAAGCCAGCCTCAACAACTTTCTGAGGTGAGACACTGTTTCTAAAACATGAAAAGGCTGGAAATGTGGCTCAGTGGCTAAGCACCCTGGGTTTCAATCCCTAGTCCAAAAAAAAAAAAAGAGATGTACAAAAGAAGGCTAGTATGGCTGGATTGAGCCAGCAAGTAAGAGGGCAGGAAAATCACAAAGGGATGTATCATAAGAAGTTGCTGCAATTTTTGTTTAAGTTGTAGATGGACATAATATCTTTCTTTATATTTATGTGGTGCTGAGAATCAAACCCAGTGCCTCACACATGTGAAGCAAGTGCTCCACCACTGAGCTACAAAGTCACTGAAATTTTTTGTACAGAGAAATGATATGTCTGAGTTTCAATTAAATCTCAAACTCAAAGGCTGATATAAAGAGAGCAGACTGCAGAGGGCAAGGGTGCAAACAAGGATTTAGGGAGATTGCCAGAATTGAACACTACCCTAGGTCTGGAGAGGTTTTAAGAAGCAATCAGATTCTAGATATATTCTGAAGGCAGAGAGTGCTGCTTTCCTAGCAGATTGGATCTGGGAATGAGGCAGAAATTGAGTTGTCAAGGATGGCAGGCAAGTTATAAAAGGATGCAGTTGCCTTCAATCACTTCAAAGCAAAACTCCAAAAAGACACTATGGTACAGATGTTCCAGTAATCCTGATTTATTTGACCTCATCACATTTTAAAGTCTCTTTCATTCACCCCTCGTGTCCTCCCATCTAATCATGGAAGTCTAGACTGAATAACTGTTGCAGACAAATAAATTTTTTTCTTTAAAAAACCATGGGTAAACCTGGTACACATGTACATGCCTATAATCCCAGCAGCTCATGAGGCTGAGGCAAGAGGATTCCAAATTCAAAGATAGCCTCAGCCCCTTAGTGAGGCCCTAAGCAACTTAGTGAGATGGTGGTATCACACACCTGTAATCCCAGGAGGCTGAGGGAGGAGGAAACCAAATACAAGGCCAGCCTCAGCAACTAACCAACTTAGTCTCAAATAAAATATGAAAAAGGGCTGGGAATGTTGCCCAGTGGTTAAGGCCCCTGGGTTCAATCCCTGGTACTAACAGAAAAAAAAAAAAAAGAAAGAAAGAAAAAGAAACTATGGTAAATACAATGACAAGAAACACTCTATCCCAAAAGACAACCCCAGGCTAAACAGTGTATAACAGCTGGTCAAGTAACACTTGCCATTTCTCAGCTATGTGACTTTGGGCAACTCATTTCTCCTCTCTATGCCTCATTTCTTTGTCTTACAATAATGATAATATTACCCATAGGGTAATTGTGAACTCCTGAACAGAAGCCAAGCACTTAAGAGTAGCATCCAGAACAGACTATGAAATGCATGCATGTCCCAGTTATTAATGTCACTGTTAAGTGATCATCTTGTTTCTAAAACTCTGCATGACTTTATAAAAAATAACAGCTGGGAAACAGATGAGTCTAATAAAATTTCAGAAACAAATAATCTAACACTAACATATACTGAGTACAAAGACTCAGCAAGTTGCTGTATTATCACAGAAATCTATCTACCCAGACAGTCACTGAAATTCTATGGGACACATATCACCCCTTTTTGTGTCTAGGGTGAGGTGGGGAAAACAGATACGTATTGTATCTCTGTGATTTAAAGAAACTAAACTATCATAGAAGACCCATGAACCCTGAACCTTTCAATACTGGTAGGTGCCTGACATGTTTTCCAGAATATAAGATACTTGAGCACTTCAGGGTTTTTTGTTTGTTTTTGTTTTGTTTTGTTTTTGTTTGTCTGGGGTGGGGGTTGTTTGGTACTGGAGATTGAACACAGGTCCTTACGCATGGGTGGCAAGTGCTCCACCTCTGAGCTATATCCCTAGTCCCACTTCAGTTTTTTATTATACTGGAATTGAGAATTTTTGAGATGTAGTATTACAATGTTAACTAATAATCTAATAGTCAATATACAGTCATCCCTCAATAATTGCAGAACACTGGTTCCAGGACCCCAGCAGGAAACAAAATTTATGAATGCTTAAGCCCCTTATATAAAAGGCCTAATATTTGCATATAACCTACACACATCTTCCCATTTACTTTAAATCATCCCTATAATACTGAATACAATATAAGTACTATAGCAAATAGTCTTAATTCAGTATGTTCAGGTAATAATGAAAAAGTTTATATGTATTCAATACAGACACAAAATTTTTTGGACTATTTCATCTGCAGTTGGATGAACCCACAATTATGAAACCTCATGATACAGAGGGCCAACTGGAACTCAGAAACTCCAATACAAATTGACAAATATAGGTATATGTTGACACATAGTGTACGTACACAGGTACACATACATAAATGAATTACTTAACCTAAACAAATCTGTCCTCTTCTCCCAGTCTCTGACATCACAAGAACATCTACTAAAATACCTCTGAACAGCAGATAACACTTCCAATCAATGATTCTCAAACCCAGATGCATCTTAGAATTTCTTGGACAGCTTTAAATAAACATATTAATACTAAAGTCCAGCCCTAGATTTCCTGTCGAATGAAAACCAATGCTGAAAAAACTAAAAGGTAATAAAATCAATGTTAAGAACTGCCAGTCAGATAAGTCTTGGAGTAGTATCTGAATCTGAGAGACAGAACATTATTTAAATGGTAACTTAAAATTTGAGTTTAAACTAGCATCATCAAATGAGCCAGTATTAGCTCACAAGATGAAATGATACTACAAACATAAATTAGAAACTATCTTAACCTGCCCTCTGCACTCTCAAACAATCCCAAATCTGTAAAACAATAGTTGGTAGCAAGGTGTGGAACCACACACTTATAATCCCAGGAGGCTGAGGGAGGAGGAACCCAAATACAAGGCCAGCCTCAGCAACTAACCAACTTAGAGAGACCCTCAAAATAAAAAATAAAAAGGACTAGGGATGTATCTCAGTGGTAAAAGCACCCTGGTTTCTATCCCCACTACCACCACCACCCCCCAAAAAGTTGAAATCTTCCAAAATTTCTCTAAAAATATGATGGATGCCTGAAACTTAGATTTCTTTCAAATGAAAAAACACACCATAGTACTGCATTGTCCACTGGCAAAATCCTTCTAGCCTTAGTGCCAAATAGGTGGTTACAGTTACATGCTACACTCACACACACCCCTTCATTGCTATAGTCCATATTAATAATATGCAGCTTGGCTCTTAGAAATGTGAAAACTTTTGTTTTCATTTTTCTTTTTTTTTTTTTTTTAATCTACTGTTTAAAACAAGGCATCCATCAAATATTAGTGCACAACATAAAGAAAAGAATATTTTCAAATGTTGTTGCCTGTCGAAATTGTGCAGGACTAGTGTTAACAACTTCCTATAATAAACTCATTCATTCCCTGTTTCCTTTAAAATATAATACTGAAACTTTATTAAATGTTAGACGTTTATTAAATGCTTGGGGCTATAGCAGTTCTGGCCTTAGTATCCTTCTAGATGCTTTACCGCATATAAATACCAAAATAAAGAATGCTGTCGTTCAAAGACATCTAAAGAATAAGCTAAGATAATGGACAGCTAAAGTAACAACAATAAAAAAGACATGGAACTAGAATTTACTAAGAACCTATTATAAACCAAATGTTGTATTATTAGTCTATGTATGGTATTTATTTAATAAACTTGCCATCCTAAGATGAAATTACCATTTAGAAGAAATTAACAGAAGCCAAACAGTGAGAAAATTAATTCTTTCAGTAATTTAAATATGGCTTTCCACATTTCAGGGAATGCCCCATCTAATCAACAAGAATGAATTAAGAGAGTTTTGTCAATTCATTCACAAGAAACTTTTTCAGGTTAGTCCAACTAGATTTTAACTGTAAGAGGATTTAAGGGTTAAAAAAAAAAAAAAAAGAAAAATCAAGTTTTCATAAAAATATATTTCTAACTTCAAATATTTTAAAGTTGAAAACTATGTAAACTGTATTTTATGTAGCTATTCATAGACCTGATAAAACAGTACTAACAAGGATACTGCACAACCATAAGATAAATATTATCAGATTCAGTAATGAGTCCTTTAACTTTTTTTTTCCTCTGACACAAATTCTAGGCCAAACCAAACGTTACCCAGATGAATCAAATTCATAGGACTGTAACTCAAGTCTACGCAAAAACTAGGAGACTTAACCCAAAGCCGCAGGACAATCTTCTTAAAAGCATTTCGGGTAACGTTATTTGACTGCAACCATACTTTTTTTCCCCCTGAAATAGATATAATTTTCATTCTTAACGGCATTAGGGATAGGGGGCAGCCCAGTGGAGTCGACTGGAAAGTGTCTGGGATACCGACTCGGATAACTGAGGTCCATAATTTTAAAATAGAAATTCGCTTCTCAGTTACGCCAAGGCTCGTCTACTCCTTCCCTCTTCCACCCCCGGCGCCTAACTTGGCCTCAGGCTACATTCTGTCAGCGCCTGGAACCCCGGCTCTCAGCCGCCGCCCTGGCCGCTCAGGTCTGGACAAGGACGTAGTTCCCGTCACCTCGCGACCTGCACACAAGCCTCCGCCAGCTCGGCCCCGCCAGGACTCCGAGCCACGGCTGGCAAAGTTTCCCCGGCCGCTCACTTGGGAAAGCTTGAGGGCAGCTCGGAGGCTGCGGGAACCGAGCGCCCGGGCGCCGACCAAGAGCCAGACAGCACCGGTGACGGAGACGGGCTGAGAGCCGAAGCAGCCCGGACGCGCGGACGCGGGCTGTGCAGCAGGGCGCCGAGGCGCAGCGGGTGGGGTGCGGGGCTGCGGAAGGGGACTCCGCGGGGCCGCCGCCCGCGCTCACCGTCGATGTTCTCCCGGTCGCTGATGTGCTGCAGGTTGCAGCCCGTGTCCTCACGGCTCAGGTCCGTGTCGGGCCGATAGGACTCCAGCCGGGAGTGGGCATTCCTCCGGAGCTTGGGGCTGGACGACACGCAGCACGAGGTAGTGTTCCCCATCTTCGGCTGCCCCCCGATTCCTGCTGCTTTCGCCTTCTTCCCGGTCCCCCGTGCGGGGCGCGGGGGCGTGGAGGGAGGCCCGCCCGCCGCCGCCGCGGGAGGGGGCGGAAGCCGCGGCCGGCCGCCGGGTTAGCAGCGGCGGCGGCGGCGGGGCCTCGCCATGGGCGGCGGCGACGAGCGGGCGGCGGCGGCGGCGACGACGAGCGGGCGGCGGCACCGGCTCTCCTCGGCCTCCGTGCGCGCCCGCCCGAGCCCGGCCGGCCTGTCCGCGGCGGAGGAGCGCTCAGGTCCGCGCGCGACTGCGGCCGCCGTGCGGAGCTCACCCCGCCGCGGCCATGGCGGGCGGCGCCGCGCAGGCCGCCTCCACCCCCCGCGCTTCGCTGTCGGCGCCCGGTGTCCCAGCGGCAGCGGCGGCTTCGGCAAGCGGTTCCGGTTCAGGCCAGGGACACGCGGGTGCGCGCCAGGCAGCCGGGAGGACGTGGGCGCGGCCCTCCGCTGGCGCGGCTAGGTACGGTGCGGTGCGGCTAGAGGATGCTCGCGCCCGCCCCCGCCGGCGCGCCCGCCCCCGCTGCAGCCCCCGCCCCGCCCCGCCGCCCCAGCCCCGCCCCGTCGCCGCCTCTTCCCTCTGCCCTGGAAGCAGATCCGCAGCTTAGGGAGGTGCGGAGTCGCTCCACGGCCTGGGCCTTAAGCGACTACCGGGAGTCGCAGGCTAGGGTGGCAGGAACTCGGCCTCTGGAAATGCGTCCTCCTCTCCTGGCCTCACTCCCTCCAATTCCCCCGGTCTCGCTCCCTCCACGTCCCCCGGGTCGCCGGCTTAAGAGGTGTGTCTGGCGGCCCCAAGGCTGGCCGGTTCCCGGACCCTTGGTAATATGCGGAGAGGTCAGAATCCGCGAGAGCGCCGCAGAGGGACACTGTTCGGCGTGGGGGACAGTAACGCTGCTCCGGCCTCTCGGGAACGGCAGAAACTTTTATTATTACCAATATTATTAAAAGCGTTTAAAGAAGTTAGGCCTTAATGGAAATTAGGCTCTTCTGTTTAGACCTTTTTCTGAGGACATGATAAAGTGATCTTGTTTTAAATCCCAAAATAAATTTTGGGGACCCAAGAGCTATTTTAATGAAGAATTAGGCGCAAAGTTGAGTTCCTAGAGGTTGATGAGAGGTAGACAAGTTAATACAACTCGTCGACCCTTGTTTTACTTTTTAAATGCCGTCGGTTTTTGGAAATGGTCTGAACTGAGGCCAGTTGACTAAGCTGAAAGTCTGTGAAAGCTCCTGGCGCCTGGGAGGGATATCAGTAAAAGTCGGTCCCCAGTGCCAAGGATATAGAGACTATTGCTTCTTGCCTTCAACCTCACCCTTTTTCCAAATAGCAAAGGAATCATGAGAGGGCATTGGTGTAGGGGATGTGTAATACCCCCCATAGATGTAGTTAATAATACTACAATAATAAAAGAGAAGTAAGGGAGTTGGTGTTTACATAGCGTCAGCAATGCTGTAGACAGCTTTTCAGGTTTTTACAGATTTTTTTTTAATTCTCCACATCTAGTCTTTTTTTTATATCTGTCTGCACCTCCATCAAACAGTAATTTTATAAATTTATTCGTCCTTTTTTTTTTTTAAAGCACATGCTCAGAGCTGTGGTATTGGCATTTGTTGGGATAAGTGGCAGATGCCCTTGGGAAATAAATGACTGCAAAGTAGTGATGAGAGAGCAAATGTAAAAGGGATGTTCTAAAGAATTGCAGCCCTCCAAAGGAGGCGCAGATGGCAACAAGACAAAATAACATGTTTGTTTTCACCTGCCCGGCCCTTGCGGCCCAGAGAATGTGTATATTCCCATTTTCAGGACATAATGTGTGGTGGGTAAGGTGGTTGAAAATTGGGAGAGGGGTTTTCCATATTGTCTGTTTACATTGCTGGTTTGTAATCTAGGACATTGTGTGAGAGTAAGTAGCCCAGCATTGACCTCTATGTGTAAAGTGTGTATCTATTCAGGCATGTGTATTTGATCAGGAAGTTTATATTTATAATAATGTTAAGGTTTAAAGACTTTGAGGAGAAAAAGAAGGGGCTCAAGAGCCAGCATAGCTGTCTACATGCTTCTCTATTGGGCAGTGTTAACTGAGAGGGGCATCTGGAAGTGGGGAAGAGTGACTGGGGGTCAGGGGAGCCACATGCCCTTACCAAAGGATGGTCTATTGGTATTCAGGAATTTTTTTTATCCCACTGATCCCCTTCTTCCTCTGTGACATTCCAGCCATCCCTAGAACACAGAAAACAAAAGAAGGGAAATGCAGAGTCAGGAAAGGGGGGAAAAAAACTGCTAAGGGTATAGCTGCCCTATTCTTATCACCTGGTAGCCAGTTTCCTGTATCAATTACTAAAACATTTCTAAAGCAATTGTAGAATAACTAAGACCCCTTTGTGTATTGTACAACTGATACTCTCCTATAACTCTTACTTTACATTGACCTCTTCTAATGAGGAATCTTTTTGATATTTGATGGGAAACAGCTATAGAGGAAGTATTTACTTTGATAGCTACTTGACCTTGACCAATGCAAGGCAATTCATATACTGAGCCAGGCACCTTGGAGATAGAAGTAGATAAGATATAGTCCCTGTCCTTGAGAAACTCACAGTCCAGTAAGGTAAACAATCACAAGAACAAGGTTAGAAAGTGTCCTGCAATGAAGGTGCTTATAGCCAGTTAATGATAAAATCTAAAAATGCCAGCCTGCTACTTATAAATACCTACATTTATCACTTGTGTGTGTATCTAAAATTTCACTATGAGGTGGTTTATTCCCATAAAGTAACAAAATATCCAGAGATTCCCTATCAGAATGAAAATTCCCACAAGAAAATAAGGATGGGTGATAGATTTAAGTACTAGTTCCAAGTCTTTTGAACCAGAGTAACTGCCGGAAACAGGAACATTGTGTTGAGTCTGAGGTTGTTTCAGCTCAGCAGAGAAGAATAATCCCATGAATGAAGTTGGGGGAAGACAGCACTTAAGCCACGCAGTTTCTATCCATGAAATACATGAAGAAGCAGGAGGAAGTCACCCCTGGATATCTAGGAGAAGGAAACTGGTTAATCTACCTCACCATTGAGAATTCACCATCTATCCCCAGGCTAAATGGCCTTAAGAGGCCCAGTTTCTCTCTTGTCAGAATAGAATCTACCTTCATCCTTCTGGGCTCACCAAGAATGGAAATGGTAAGTGCATATGTGCTCCCTAAGAGCTAGTATACTTTTGTTTTTTTACATTTTTAGTTGTAGATTAACATAATACCTTTATTTATTTTTATGTGGTACTGAGAATCGAACCCAGTGCCTCACACATGTGAGGCAAGCAGTCCATCACTGAGCCCCAGCCCCAGCATGCTAGCATACTTCTGATAAGGCGAAGTAGATAGAGTCAGGCACAGATCAGGGTGGAAGAGGCTCTGCATGCCCATCCAGTGTCCATTCTTCCCTCTCCCTTGGTTACAAGGCCTTCCATTTTGTGAGCGATAGCAGTTGGCCCCACTCAAAAAAGACAGCAAGCCTTGTGACAAAAGTGTGGTCTAGCCAATGAGATGTGAATGGAAGCTTCCAGGAAAACTCTGAAAAGGCTTCCTCTTCTGTTTTTTGGAATGTAGATATAATGGCTGGAATTCTGATCCACTTTGGAATACCAGGTGACCTTGAAGATGGAAGCCATTAACTAAGATACTGTTCTTGTAAGCTTTTACAGCTTTTACTGTTCTTGTAAGCTTTTACACAAGAAACAAACTATGTTGTATAAACCACTGCTACTTTGAATTCCCAAGTTATATGCAACCAGACCTTATCCTGATATGGCTAAGATTTCATATTATTCTTTGATAAGAGTTTTATATATTGAAAGCTGGGTGTAGTGGCAGATGTCTATAATCCCAACAACTCAGGAGGCTGAAGGAGGAGGATCATGATTTCAAAGCCAGCCTCAGCAACTTAGTAAAGCCTAAGCAACTCAGCGAGACTCTGTCTCTAAATAAAACACAAAAAAAGGGCTGGGTATATGGCTCAGTGGTTAAGTGCCCCTAGGTCAATCTCCAGTACCAAAAAAAAAAAAAAAAAAGTTTTATATGTTCACATTGACAATTTTCACAAGAACTTGGGATAGTCATATGTACCTGGCTCCCCATAGCAGAGTCCAGCATGGGATTGGAGCAGACAATAGGCAACCTGTGGAGTTAAAGCAGAATTTGGGGACAAAAGAAAGTTGTTTGTCCAAAAGGCAGATTAATCCCCAAGAAAATACAAAAAAAAAAAAAAAAAAAAATTGTTTGGGTTATTAGAAATTGAACATCCCTAATTCAAAACCTGAAATGTTTGAGCTCAAAAAGTTTTGGATTTTGTATTTCCAGATTAGGGGTGCTCAACAGATAAAGTCTATATACATATTTCAAAATTTGGGGAAAAAAAATCAAATCTGAAACACTTCTGGGCCCAAGCATTTCAGATAAGGGATATTCAGCCTATACTTTAATACAGCACTCCTTCAATAATCCCAGAAGTGGAGGCTCCCACCTACTTTGTTTTGTTTTGCTTTTAAAGAACCTTCTATGCAACAGGCATTTCACATCTTAAATTAACTGACCTTGGTTTCCAACACTATAAAACCTGACAGCATTTAAAAGTAAAACAAGAGTAGTTTATGACGTGCTAATTTATTGCCTCTATCTCACATTAGTAACCTTCAAGGAACTCAAAATATATTGCCTCCATTATTTGACATTAAAATAGCTCTGGGGCCTCCGTGAGCAGCCAAGTAGATCCTAGAGACTGGCAGTAGAATCACTCCCCTGCTTAGAACCTGTCAGTAACTTCTCGTTGTTTTTAGAGTTTCAGCCCACTGGGCAATCAAGTCCACTTTCTCTCCAGCCAATCAGAACTACTCACAACTCAACTTTTGTTTCTGCCATTCTAGACCGGCTTCACTCAGCTAACTTCACCCCCCTGAAGTCATTCTTCCTCCCCTGCCCCAGCTGCCTGTGTTTTAAATTCTGCTGATCTTCAAGGTCTAACACTAGCTATGCTCTTTCTCTGTCCCTCATAATGGAGATTATAAACTCTCATGGACCAGCTTGGGGTATAGCTCAGAGTGCTTTCCTAACATACAAGGCCTAGGTTTGATTCATTTCACATGGATTTTACAGGAAACTCTCAGAAGTTACTTTCCTCTTCTTTTGTTGTTTGTATGCAT